CATGCGGAAGCGGCTTTTAGATTCTCAGTGCTGTGCTTTAACCCGCTGCGCCACCAGGGAGGGCCCTAAACCTTTTATTTTAATAGCATATTTGCTATGGTGACATGGCAAAACACAGGCAGACACCATTATAGCATGCAATGTCTATAATAAGTATTATTTGCCATTCACTGTTTTCTTCTTAAAACCTTCATCCTTCCATTGGATGGGAACTACCTGTCAGGCACATGTGTAATGTCCACTTCTGGCAATAACCTCCCAAGAAGCCCTTCTGGAGCATCTAGCAGGTTTCGTGAGCACAGCTGGCTCTGTCTGTAAACAGATCAGAAGGTCATCACGGTACCTGTCTGTGCTTCCACAGAGAAGTAGGGCTGTCCTTCCAGGATGCTGTACACGAGCTTGGCACTGTTTCCATAGGTGGGGTCATCTGCATCTGAAGCTGTCACCTGGATCACGGACGTCCCTTAAAGTTGAAATAAATCCATCAATAACACTCCATCAGCTTTTCAAGCCCTATTCTACTTGACAGAGTTTCAGCACAAAATGAAAACCTGAGAATATCACAGTATTTCAACATGTATTTTTCCCTGTGGTTGAGATATAAAATAATCCTCCTTCTTTATTTTTTTTAATCGCTTAAAAATGTACTCTCCTTATCTATGATATACCTCGCTATGCTTAGTGGTTAAAATAACAATATGAATCTCACTGCAACAAGATTATAAGACCTATGCAATTGAACTGTTCGGTATTTCAAATAATTAAATAAAAACCTTCCCAAAGAGTATAATAAAGGATAATTAATGATGAATTGCTTTCCATGAAAGGATAGAGCACCGTCTTCCATCTGTAGCAGAGCAATAAATACATCATTTTATTGTTGCTTTGCTTGTAATAAAATGGCTGCTAATACTACATTTTAATTAATTTATGGTTATAAATATTGTGCAGAATGTCATTCCCTACTGACATGAAAATTGCGTCTTCCCACCTCTAACAGGCTCGGTAGTCAAGTAAGAGAAACCACCAGTAGACATCTAGTGAGATCCACGTTGAGTATTTGTGGGTCGGAATCAAAGGAAACCTCAGCATTGAAGGAGGATGCACTCCATTTTTCTTAGCATAGTCTCTGTTCCTTGTTACTCAGGAGTTTCTGAGCATTAGAATGGGGGAAGAGTCTCAGGCACTGTTTGAGGACTATTCCATATATTCTGCGACTGTCCATATATTTCTGCATCCACTGTCCTTGAGAGTGTGTGTGAGAGGTATGAAGTTCCGCAATCCATTTAGCAAAGTGGGCTATTGCCAGAGTCGGGAGTCTAACTCCCCAGCAAACCATCAAACCCACGTTCTTTCTGGGATATTTTCAGCAGAGGGTGAAAGTTGAGTGTGGGAGGCAGCCAAGTCTTGGAAAGTCCTTCCCTTTATAGGTTGTCAGTGATTCTTCATGTATTGAAAGAGTAAATTTCATTCTTTTCTAATTACTCCTCTGTAACTCATTATTTTGCATCAACAACTCTTCCCACACAACCAGGCACTATTCTAAGTAGTAGATTTAGAAAGAGAATATGTTCTTCTATCTACCATTGTGGGATAGCTAAGGAAATCATTAATTTTTTTATTCTTTTTATGAAACTCCATTAAGTCCATTGTAATTCTTTATATTTTACATCCATTTTATTTGAGCCTCATCATAGAAAACTGAGGAGGTAAGAGGCTGTCTGAACTCCTCAGCCTTTAAGGTCTCGGCCATGATTCCAACCCAACTGTCTGCCAACAGACTCTCCTTTACAGGCCATGACAGGAAGTCTGGGTGTTGCCCAAACATCAAGGAGCTGCCTAACTAAGGAGCGATGGAAATTTCCTTAAAGCATCCTTTTTGGTGACTGGTCTTTCTCCCCCTGGCTTGGTTCCCGACATCATTGTCCTTTATGGAATTATTTGATGTCTCTCTTTCTCACTAAAATCCCTAGCCAAATTCCAAGAGACCAGGCAAGGAAATGGAAAGAAAAGAAGATGAGAAAAGGCTCAGCCCCGCTTTCATAAAGGTCTTAGGGATTTAGGCTCACCACGACATCTAACTCTCTTGAGTAAGTTAATTTCCATTCTTGGTGCTTGATTTTCTCATTTGTAAAATGAGTGGTTTGACCCTAATGATGCTTAAATTCATTTGAGCTCTAATCTCTAATAGACTTACTTCCAAAGCAGAACATTCCTGCTCACTGTCAAAAAGACGAAACTATCTTAACATGAAGCATGTTTCTCAAAAGACTGTGACTGCAAGTATTCTATAGAAAGCCAAACCAAATTATTGCCAGGAGAAGGTGGCCAGTAGAAGACATCTTCAGAGTGCCACCCTTTCACAATGCAAGTTTCTTTGAGCAGGATGAAAAGACATACCTACATCTGAATTATGCTAGTAGATGGTGACATAGTGTCATGTTTAAGCGTGCAATCTGGACCCACTTAATAACTCAGATAACCTTGGATAAATTAGTTAACCTGTTTCTGGCTTGGGTTTCTCATCTGTAAAATATATCAAATAGGATCAACCTCATTGCAAAGATGAATCACCACAAAAATTAAAAGCAATAGTGCATGTAAATCATTAATTAGCACAGTTCCCACACATAGCACATATTGCCACTATTACTACGTATTGAACACCAACATGCTCTAGTGACTGAACACCTATCACCCCTAATCCTAATCCTGTAGGACAGACATGGCTACTTCCATTTAGCAGAGCAGGGACTTCAGGCTAGGAGAACAGACCTACCTGGTTTCAAGTCATACACTGCCAATGACTGTGAGAAGCAGAATTACTTGCATTCCATCATATTCTTCCCACTCCTCCACACACCTTAAGTGAGATTTTACCATCTCAAGACCATTTTAAATATTTGAAACTTCAACTACACATAGGAAATATCTGCCTCTGTTATTTTGCCACAGGAGGTACAACATACATACTACTTCCTCACTTGGGAGAATGGGGCCAGGCTCACCCACCCACAGACACTGCAGGCAGAGGGGTCTCCTTCCATACGTACCCACATTGGACCGTTCTGGCACGTTGGCATGATAGGTCTCATGCAAGAACTCAGGGGGGTTGTCGTTAATGTCCTGGACCTTGACGATGAATTCCGATGGTGGCTCCAGTGGCCGATTGGTGCCCCTGTCCACAGCTTGAGCCATCAGTGTATACTGGGCTCTCTCCTCTCGGTCCAATGTCTTGGTGGCATGAATGTTCCCTGATTTATCATCAATCACAAAAATGGTTCCGGCTCCTTCACCTGAGAGAATGTATTTAATGTTCCCATCTCCAGAGTCAATATCGGAATGAAGCTAGGAAAAGAAAAATGGAGATTTGTAATTCCAGGACAGACACAATGGAGAGAACGAAACTCTCTTACATGCTGTTTGCTAGAAGGCAAGATACGTGTACAAACGTGAACACACACACAGACAGAGGCGAGGTTCTCGTCCATACTACATATGAATAAAGGGGACTTTTGTGAAGATAATTGCTTTGGTCAAGGTCACAGAGCTGGAGAATAGTGAATCCAGCCTGCAAACATTGTTTTTGAAAATTCTGATTCAGCTCACCCTCTCTCATACACACACACACACACACACACATGTGCATATACAAACAAACACACACACATATAGATGTAAATATAGATATAGGTATTTATTAGTTAGTTTTTGAAAGAAATATATGCATATCTTAAAAGTAAAGTTCAAGCACTTATGCAGTAGGTCCTCCTGGTTCTGATTTTTGTTCCTTATGGAGTAGAGAGAACCATGATTACCAATTTCTTGTAAATTCTCTAAGACAAGTTCATTCCGTACATAAGACTATCATTAATGAATATATAAGAACTCCAGCTTGATTTTACACAACAAAATACACATATTACTTTTCCCGTTGTTTCTTTACAACAGTAAATTCAGGTGGCCCTTTTGCAGGGTCCTTGGAGATGTGTTCATTCATTTTTTGGATACTAACTTCATTTCTTTTAGCAGTCCCCTTCCAAAGGATGTAGGCTTATTTCTGGGTTATCGTTAGTAGGAACAAGTCCTTCACCAGTTCTACTCAGGAGACCTGCTGTGTGTGGAGTATAGGGATTGGGTCTGTGGCCTGCCTGAAAGAGGTTCCCATCACTAAGCATGATCCTTTCCAGCTCCATCCATATTGCTGCAAAAGGCATGAGTTTGATTTTTTTTTTTTGATTGCTGAGTAATATCCCATTGTGTGTATGTATCACATGTTCTTGATCCAGTCATCTATTTGGGGGCACTTGGGTTTAGTCTACATCTTTCCTATTGTAAACAGTTCTTCAATTTCTGTTTCTGTAATTTTTTCTTAATCTGACCTCCTCTGTCCTCACTATGCCCTTTGTGTGAAAAGATAAGCATTACTTTCACCAGTTAGGTCTTAGAGACTTCAAGAGTCATCAAGTGGATAAAAAAGCCTTCCATCTACTAATAAGAACTTATATAAACTACAAAACTTTAGTGCAACAGCACAAATAATACTAATAATACTAATTAGTAGTAGCATTTAACATTATTATTAATGTAATTTAAATATTAATATTAATATGATTTAAATTATGACGATGATTAAGAAACAAGCCTGGAAGGCCTGCTCAGAACCACAAATCAAGACTGAATTTAATGCTTTTAAAATTTTTTTAATTTTAATTCAGTTTCCAAAAAAAATACCTCATTGCTTTGAAGGGCATCAGTGGAATACCAACTATTTCATCTCAGGGGGATACTTGTAGGTACAAGTTACAAAGGCCATTATGTCTTAAGCTCATAGTGTTTCTTAGGGAAAGCAAACAAAAAAAAAATGTGTATATTCCTTCTGAATTTGCTATTCAGAACAAGTTTTGCACTGTCATGAAAATATGTGTTTCTCATGAATAAGGAGTAAGCTTGGGAGTAAGACATAATGCACGTGATGCCTCTGAAATTATTTGTCCCTCAGGTCAAACAAGTCCCTACATATCTCTTTTCTATAAGGACCTTCACTTCCTTCCCTGGATCTCCTCTCTCCCTTCCCAACCAATGATTCTCCTTGCTTATTTTCTTGCCTCGGACCTGGCAGAAGTTAAGGCTCACCCCTGCGAATGAGGGTTAAGGATAATTCCTGCTTTGATTGGGAATACTGAGAAAAACAAATATTTCTAGACACCTTCCTCTATTACATATGCATTGGCAAGCCTCTGGAAAATCAAAGAGATTCTATTTCATGATCAATCAAACAACAGAAAAACATTTGAAAGATACATGGCTCATCACTTCTGTCTGCTTTCAGCTTTGAAAGTCGTGTATAAATTATTTTTCTTGCAAAGTGGAGAGGGGGTACAGTGAATGATCCTGGAGGGTTGTGGTTACCCTGGGGGTGGGCATGGGCACTGGTATTGGGGAGATGTGTTCCGCAATGTGAATCGCATGCATTGTTGTCAGCCGATGTTACCTATTTAAAACCCAAACTAAAAACAAGCCAGAATAAATAAATTCCTTTTCTTTTTCTCTCTAGCAAAGATGATGTATACAGCTGACAGCAATATTTATTAGTTTCCACCCAAAAAGCAGTTTGGGAAGCCATTCAGAGCTGTCGGGGGAGCCAGCGCCGAGGCGCTCCACAGCCAATTCCTAACTCCAAAGACTGATGGCTTCCCCTCTGCAGAGCACAGCATGCTAGAAGCTGTGTTTCTTACAAGAAATTGGAAAGTCCATGCTTTGCCAAACTCCACCTTTTCAGAGCATCTGAAAGCATTCAACCTTGAATGTCATCAAATCAAAGCTTATTAGGGAGCAAGTCATGCTTTCTGGCACCCTGTTTATGGGGAAATGCACACCAGCATGCTCTCAAAAGGGAGATCCAGCGGGCCCTTCTTTCTTTCTATTCTCCCAGTCCAGCCTAGCAACTGACTCCTTGTCACGTGCATAGATTTAAAAAACAAACAGAAATCGTTCACCACTTCCTTTCCCCCTGTTACAGATGCTCCCTTTCCAGTAGACACGACCAAAGGATTCCTGCCCAGCTCTCTACATTGTTCAAGCCACACAGGCTCTGCTATGGTTGAAGTCTCTTCTTCCTCCTGGGCACTGAGCCCATCTCTTGCATGCAGGGAATTCTACGTGCCAGTTTTTCCCATGTTCCCATTTCCCAAGTCTGCGTCTATGTTGGGTCTAACCTTTCCATTTGTGGTAGAAGTGAATGAAATTCCTTTGGTACATCTCTTCAAAAACATACACCTTCACCCTCAACAGTGTTATGAACACTCAATATGAACCTCCTCCATCGATGTCATTTACATAAACTTGGAATAATGTTTTCACAGTAAAGGAGCAACTGAAATAGCTTCACTGGAATTGCTGAGGCTCAGAAATCCACAACCCCTAAGTGGACTCTTGTGCCTTTCTCTCTTCAGTGGGTAATTCCTGTCGGGTCTGGTCACAAGTGATCATCGTATTCTCCATGAGACCTGCCCTTACTTCTTCCTATGTAAATTCATAATCACTTCTATTGATATTTTTCATTATCCCACTCTTCATTTTAGTGTGTGGGGAGATTTTTTTTGTTTCATTACGTAATAATTGACATAAAATATTATATTGGTGTGGGGGTCTGTAACACAGTGGGTATATTTATATTGCTTGAGGTCAGGAATTGTTTTAGCCTAATCTACCATTTACCAAGCTCTGCAACTGCATGCAGTAAGCTTTCTCTTCTTCCACCTCACATCACTTAGCACTGTTTACCCAGAGTTCCACCATCAACTATCGTGGGGGGAAGCGGGGGGAGTCAGGTTTTCACACGCACACATACTTGTAGGACCCGTGCAGAACCTGAGTGGTGCAGGCCTCTCAAACCATCCCAACCGGATATTGCGCTAAGCCAACGTAGAGAAACTGCCCCTGATGTGTGGACACATCATCAGCTCATCCTATATTGAGAGGTTTCCCCAAAGCAGGGTAGAGCCCAGAACCAGGTGCCACTGTTCCTGCTGCCAAGTAACGTGGTGGGCGGCGGGGCAGTAGGTAAATACATTGACACAGGGAGCACAAACAGAGAGAGCGCAGCAAACACAGAGGGTCATGAGGGGGATCCCTCTCTCTCATCCGGTGGGGGTGAGGCTGCTGTGTGGGATCCCCTAGTTGGAGAGCAGTTAATATAAAACAGTCATATATGTGTGTGTGAATGTCATGTGTATATATATGTGTGTGTGTGTATAATTCATATATATATATATGTATAGATAGATAGACGGACGGACAGACAGACAGATAGACAGACAGATAGATAGATTGATAGATAGACAGACAGACAGATAGACAGATAGATAGATAGATGTAAAATGACCCTTTCTCTTCAGTAGACACTTGTGCCACCGTTCAAAAAGCGTCATGTGTATGGTATACCCTGCAGTAGAAAACAGAGGTCTTCTTCCCCCGCCTAAGCCTATGTTTTGAAAAGCAAAAATGATGATGTAAATAGAGGCATAGATATACATTTTAAATACCAAAGGGAAAAAGCAGAAGGCTGAGGGATGTGTGAGCATCAATTTTCAGGCGCATCATCGCAGACCAGTCCTGGTCTCGCTCCTCCGCTGCTCAGGCCTCCCCCTCCCGAGGGAACCGTGAGCGAGGGAAGCGAGCGCTGATGGCAGCGGCCTTACCCTGCCCACCAGCACAGGGTCAGGCCCCGTGTACTCCTCGATCACGAAGAACTGGTTCCAGACCCAGCCTCTCTTGGAGCGCTGCAGCACCTGCCCTTCCTTGCCCTTCTCGTGGTGTCCGTGGAACGAGGGTCGCAGGTGGCCCCGCCGCTCCGTGGTGAAGGCCTGGCTGCAGTACAGCATGCCCAGGCACACCAGGGCGGCTTGTAAACAGTAGTTCTCCTTCATTTTTGGTTCCGTGGTAGGCACAGGAGAATGCGGCTGTCACCCCTTCCGCCAACCGTGTGGCGGCCCGTCCGGTGGTGGCCTCCCAGACGTCAGGCAGACCTGTCTTGGAGTGGAATGTCTCTGCTGGCTGAGAGCATCCCGTCAGGGCTGACCACTTCCACGGTCGGCTTCTGCGGAAGAAGGAAAGGTCCGGTTAGCTGCGGTTCCTTCCCGCTTCATGGCCATGCCCTCCCCTAGACTTCACCCACTTTGGACCAGGTGAGCGCTTGGTCTGGGCCTTGAGGAGGCAAAGGTGGGCAAGAAATAGCCCCTGGTGCCGCCCTGGTGGTGCTGGGGTTGCAGTCTCCCCGTTATCAAGCTACTTGATCTCTCCCCCACTATGAAGCCACTGCAGACTGAGTTTAGTCCCAGGCCAGGGAGCTGACTGACCCACATGGCACAGCATGTCTCATCCGCTGCTCCCCTCAGCAGTCGATCTGCCTGTTCTGCTCCCTACTCTATCTCTGGTGAATAATTTCACCCCCCCCCCAATACCTCTGGCCTACACTCCAGTTCTTGTATGCATAAATAAATAAAATGAAATCTTAAAAAAAAAAAAAATCGGCCCTCCCTGGTGATGCAGCGGTTTAAAGCACAGCACTGAGAATCTAAAGCCACTTCCGCATGAGTTCGATCCCCGCCTGCCCCAGAGATGACCACATGGCACGGCAGACCTCTCCTGACCCGCCCGCTGCTCCCCTCAGCAGTGTAATTCGTTGATCTGCCTGTTCTGCTCCCCACTCTGTCTCTGGTGAAGCCTCTCACCGCCCCTGAGCCTCTGGCCTGTACCCCAGTTCTGTATGAACAAATAAATCTTAAAAAAAAAAAAAATCATCCCATATCTCTTGCAGCTACTTGGTGAGTGAGATAATATATAAGACCCCTCAAGGTCTAGAACGGGAGCAAGTGTATGTGCCCTGGCTTCTAGCTGTCTGGGGCGGGTGTCAGTTTTACCACTTACCACCAGCAGACAATAGATGAGCATTTGACTTCATTTTGCAGAAATAAACACATTCATTTGTGAAATGAGGATGAGAACCATCTTCACTGCAAGACTCACATAAGGATCAAATACACGTGAATCTCTCAGGACAATTCCAGGTACACACTAAGCTCCCCAGACATATCTGTTGTTATTACTGGTTATTATTGTCTGGGGTATGTTTCTATCATAGGAATGGTGGCTTAGTATCTTAAGTGAACACAGAAGCAGAGCATATAGTTGACCAGGATTGAGGATGGAAATGACAGAGAGTGGGGAGACTCCCTAGTGGTTGAACCCCAAAGTGAGAGCAACTGTGATGTGTAAAGAGTGGACAAGGTGACTGTGCAGAAGACCAGCCTGTCCCAAGCCCAGAGTGTCTCCCAAGCACGTCATGTGCCAGGATGGGAAAAGGGGATGAGGGGCAGGCAGTGTGTCCTGCTAGAGGAGGGAGTCAGAGCAGATTCTGATAAACCAGTGATGGTGCCTAAAGCCTGTGGCAATGACATCGTGAATCACATCCTCTTTGGTGGACCAGTGGAGGTTAGCGTGAGCTAATTTCACTTGTCTGCTCAACGATCCATCCAAAAAGCTCTCATGGTCTTAGATGGATACTTTACAAACCATCACCAACCAGAAAGAGCATTCTAGAGCAACATGCCCCTACCAACTGGCCCAAAGGTCCTGGCATGGACTAGCCATGGCTCAGCTAGTCCCAGTGATGCTTCCCCTTCCCTTTATAGGCTTCGGCTACAGTCATGCTGCCATTTCTCAAGAACTCTGCTTCCCTCCAGTCTTGAAATCCTGCTTGCTTTTCCTGGGCATTTTCACTAGACTTAGTGGAAAGACTAAGTGCTCAAAACTTAATTGTCCTCTGAATCACTTTGTTAGTTGTTCTCTTCTCCTCTCTTTACACCCTTTGCTTTCTTCTGGAGAATCATAGTCTCCTCCTGGGGTGCCATCCAAACCCCAAGTGGAGCACAGGCTCCCAGAACCCAGCACTCCTGCTTCCAGCCCCCACCGCCAACATGAGAAAACTGTTGGGGATGATACTGAGGATGACACTATTATTTCAGTACCTAAGGGTCTAAATGCAATCTGGGAGTGTCCTGAGCACTGTGGGAACAAAAACTGCCATCTAATTCCTTTCCCCTACTATGGGTGAGGTAGTGAGGGAAGAGTAGGATAGCAAGGAAGAGTATGGATCTTGCCATAGTAAAATTTTCCTAGACTTGTAGATCAGATAGACATCACTTGGACTCACTTCTTTATCTTTTTTATTAAGATTTATTTACTTATGCCTATAAGAACTGGGTACAGGCCAGAGGAGGGGGGTGAGAGGATTCACTAGTGACAGAGTGGGAAGCAGTATATCTACTGAAATATACTGCTGAGGGGAGCAGCGGGCGGGTCAGGAGAGGTCTGTTGTGCCATGTGAGTCAGCTGCCTGCCCGGGGACCAAATTCAAGCCACAGTGGCTGCCCATAGCTACATAGTGCTGCACTTTAACCCCTTGCACTACCAGGGAGGCCCCTCCTTCTTTATCTTATAATCTGGGTGACCTTGGGGATGTCATTCAGACATTCTGAGTCTCCATGGTCTCATTGAACAGAGGTAATGACAAGAGTTGAAACACACACGGGACTGAGGGCAGCAGAGTGAGGCACCTCTTTGCTGGGCCTCTCGGTCCCTTCCTCGAGGGCCACAATCCAAGCCTGTGGGTCTCACTCAGCCAAGGAGGTACTCTTCCCTTGTAGATGGAGATTCCCGGGAGAGGACAGTGAGAGGCTTCCTTTTGAGAGGAACTGAGGGATGAGGCTTCCTTTTGAGAGGAATGAGCACCATAGTCAACTGGCCTAAGCAGTCTAGAAAATTAGGGAATTGGTAGAATTCTAATTTATGTTACAGAATCTCTTCTTTCTGATAGTCTTTTACTTCACCCCCCCCAAGTCTTTCTGCTTCCTTTGTAATATGACAAAATGGCCACAGATTTGCAGCCAAGTCCAGGTATCCATCAATGCCCTCTACACCACCATATGATATATGATGTTAGCCTCTTTTCAAGGAATAGGGAGTTTAATATTTGTTCTGGACAGACTTTGGAAAGAAGAAAAGGCTGCATGGAAGAGATTAAAAATGTTGTGTCATCATTTAAAAGCTTCAACCTCTGACTCCAGTAGATTAATAATATATCAAATGTTCTTTCTTGCCAGCCAAATAGACTATGTGGAAAAGGTAGAGAGGGACCTAGATCCTAAAATGAAGTACGTGAAGCAATAGGAAGATCTCTGGACTTAAGTCTGGAAACTGGAGATTGGGTCGAGAATCTGACTTAGCTTGTCTTGGGAACTCATCATTTTCTCTATTAGTGATTCTGCTCATTCTCTGTAGTAAAATAAAACCACTGGGTAACTTTTTCTGCAAGTGGCTTCCATATCTCATATGCTAAAACCATGGCTGGAGGTGATGAGAGCTTGAGAAGCATTGCTTCTCATTGAAATGCTGTCTCCCTACTAAATCAGTAGTCTCGTAATGGTTAGGATTATACTTATTCACGATTATATGTTGGAAGCCTGAGCACTTCAAATCAGGTTGTCAATCAATGTTGAATGTATGGCTTGAACCACATACGCCAAGTTCAAATTTTATATTGCCACCACAGAAGCTCAAGAAGTAGGAAAGAAAGAGCATATGGTACACCGAGATCCTTACCCATTTTGCGGAATGCCAAGTATTATGTGTTCATTCACACAGTGAGAAATTATTCTTGCTTATAAACTGTGAAGTGTATTTGAAAGAAAGGGTTTAATTAAAGTTGATATTTCTACACCTCTTTCTTCTGCCTGCCATTTTGCTGTAAAGAACAATTATTTCTGACACTAAACGTGTTGAAACTACATGACAACTTTTTTGCCTTTATAAACAAATTCTAGCTTAATACTAATGAATTTAAGAGTTTCCATAAGACCAGTAAACAATGAACTTCATTCTGCATTAAACAGGTTAAATGATATGTTTTCTTCTTATGGAAATAAAAAAACCAACAGTTTCTTTATAAATAATTCATTGGATTCATTTTTTAAGTGCTTAAGTACCTATATGTAGTTTACAGTCATTTTAATGATTACACTCAGATATGTACAAGATTAATTTTTTTTTTTAAGATTTATTTATTCATACAGAACTGGGGTACAGGCCAGAGATGTGGAAGGTGAGAGGATTCACCAGAGACAGAATAAGGGGAAGAACAGGCAGGTCCATGAAGTACACTGCTGAGGGGAGCAGTGGGCCGGGTCAGGAAAGGTCTGCTGCGCCATGTGGTCACCTCCGGGGCAGGCGGGGATCGAACTCATGCAGAAGTGGCTTAAGCTTCTTAGTGCTGTGCTTTAACCCGCTGCGCCACCAGGGAGGGCCATGTACAAGATTAATTTTAAGGCATGATTTTTTTTTTATTTATTCACTATCAGAATGTTTATTTAACAAAAACTTTTTCCAGCATTTTTAAACTTCACAAATAGTAACTCACCTATTTATTTCTATAATAAACGGATGAATAAGGACTATAAATGTTGCATAGTATCTAAAGCTCAGCTAAATTAAGCAATTTGTATAAACTTAAGTTTCTGGTAAGAAGCAGAGTTGGGATTCGATTCTATGCCCTCTGACTCTGGAGTTTGTGCTCTTAACCAGTGAGCAATCGCAACTCTTTCCACGGCCACTGATCAAACAGTAACCTAGAAGACGCTTGAAGTAAGCCAACCTGAGAAGTCAGTTTATAATATCACCGAGTAAAATATTAGTAATGCTTAACATTTACCCAGTATTATTATCTTATCTTATGATTTTCCTAAGTGTTTTCCAGAAATAGGTTATCAGATTTTGCACTACAGCTACCCCACTTTCTGAGTGAAGTGCTTGTGCTATAGAAGCAACAGGGGATGAGCTGGGCGTGAGTCCTGTATGTCTGGTTCCAAGACCTGCATTGTAATTGCTTAAGATCTTTTTATTTAAAATTTCTTTTTATTCATGTATGCATAGAACTAGGGTATAGGTCAGAAGTGCAGGGTATGAGAGGATCCCCCAGAGACAGAGAAGGGAGCAGAACAAGTAGATGGACTGAATACACTGCTGAGTGGAGCAGCAGGCAAG